TTGATTCTTATATCGCTTTCTTGCCGCTTTGAGCCCCGCGTGTGATAATGTTCAGTGTGTATCAGAAATGACAGGGCTTATCAGAAATGTATGTAGAAGAAAAGTGAGGAGCTCCATCTGAAGTTACAAATAAAGGTATTTAAATAGGAATTCCAGCTTCCCCAGGAAATATTCAAGTTCCAGCTATTTTATTACACGTACAAATTGATCAAGCAAACATTACTTTCATGAGGAGGAAGGAGGACCACTTGTTTTCCCTTCCAATAGCTAACTAATGTTTTAACTGTAGATGAGAGCACCATCTAGTGCTAATATGTGTTTGTTGATCTATAAACAAAATGTGTCCACCATATCACATGGCCATTTTGTTAATTACTTTAATGCAGCCTTTTTACTTTCCTACCAGAAAATTCTACAGAGGCAATAAGAATACACAATGATAGAAAACAGTAGAAGTGATCTGGAATTGACTCTTGTTTTATAGGATTCACTTAAAATTTAATCTGTTCTCCTCTGCCCTTAACATTAAAATCAAATCAGATCTGCAAGATTTGGGGAAAGTACAGATGTAAGGAGTTAATGGCTGGTCTTGTGACTTGCAATGCACACTAATTCATGTTGTTGATGTTGTTGTTGTGTTCCTTCAAGTCATTTCTAATTTATGATGTTCCTAAGGTGAACTTATCATGGGGTTTTCTTGGCAAGACTCGTTTTGGGTGTGTGTGTTGTTTTTGCTTCCCTCTGAGGCTGAGAGAGTGTGACTTGTGTAAGGTCACCTAGTGGGTTCCATGGCTGGGTGGGGATTCAAACCCTGATCCCCAGGGTCATAGTCCAATGTTCAAACCACTACATCGTGTTGGCACTTCATTACCACTATAACTACTATGGTTGCTCTTATGAAATCCTTGGTTTGATGTAGTAACTGCACACCCCAGAATTCCATAGGATGGGGCCATGATAGTTAAATTGGTATTGCAATGCAATAATTGTGCAGCATAAAAGAGACCAAGATGGCTCCTGGGGCCCCATCACACCACACAATTATAGCATTTTGATACCACTTTAACTGCCATAGCTCATTCTATGGAATCCTGGGATGGAGATTTTCATGAAGCATTTAGAATTCTCTACCACAAAGTTCTAGTTCCTCCTCAAACTACGTATCAGGGATCTATAGCATACACTCCTGGCAATTAAAATGGAACTATACTATTATAATTGTATATGGCCCCTAGTGTCAGCAATCACCCAGTGTTTTCCTTCCTAGAAGAATTTTTTCATAGTATAAAAAAATGGTGGAAGGGGTCTGGGACAAGATACGAAAGTCTTGTATTTTGTGAATAACTCAGACAACTATGCAATAAAAGCCTTGTATATAACCACCACCACCCTGAACAAATCTTATTTCTGTAGCCACATGCAGAGTTAATGTATCTGAAAGTCTATAAGCTCAAACTGAAGCTTGTGATCACCAGAGTGAGGATATTTACCTCTGTAGTCAACATTTAGAAACTTGTGATCAACATGAATAATTGCATTTTTTTTTAAAAAAAAAAAAAAGTAGAAATTAGAATAGGCATGGGAAGTGAGTGGGCTTTCATATATTGTTACTGTAAATCCCATCATTGCTCACCATTGGCTATGCTAGCTAGGCTTGATCAGAAACACAATCCAACAAGATCTGTAAAGCCACATATTACTCCACTCCTGAATTACCAGGCCCTCTTACTAAAACAGTAGGCCAAATAAAGAGAAATATACTACTACAGACAACAGTTGAAATACAGAACTGGAAAAAAAAGTAGCAAGCAAATGTGTGTATAAATATATACACATATTTCTTGGTAAGGTATACATCTTAGCATATGTGCCGAGGTTGCTACACAAGCAAGCTGATGTCCCATTAAGTAAATGTACAATATTATCACATTCAAGATCATGTGAACCAGCCCACATGAGATACTGAGATAATCACTTTGTTGGTTGCCTGAATGGTAATACAATTATTATATGTTATAGACAAGGTGGAAGGACTCTTACTCCCATGAGTACCTATTTATTTATTTGTTTGCAGAATTTAAATCTAAGCACACATAATGGTAGCTCACACACTGGCTGTGATGGAAAGACCACACCAGTCTCTTAGTCCAGTAAAGTCAAGACCTGCCCATCATATCCCTGAAGATGATGTAAAAACCATCCTAGAAAGTTAACTATCAAATGAATCTCTAAATGTCTTTACTAAACAGTGAACAGTAAAACTGAGCCAACTGCAATATTAACACAAACAGTTAATACGCAAATGTTTGTCTCCATCAGTGTCAAGGATAATATTGTTTTTTCTCATATATTTTTATTAAATATATATATATATATATATATATATATATATACATTATATACATTTCTTAATCTTGAGTACATACTCAATCTATTCAAAATATTACCAATGTACAAAAAAACTTCCATAGTTCTTCCAAAGTAAGCATGCTACTTATTCATTTAAAATAAATCTCAAATTACACTTTTCATTAATTAAACCTATTTATATTAATATCTATATCCATCTTACTTTCATTTTAATGCATTCTATTTTTTTATATATTTCTTTCTATTATTATCTTTCCATACCTCCTATTTCCATATTTCTTTTATATATTAGTGTCAAGGATAATATTGTGAGTACACCAAAATCAGGGACACCTCATACATTGTGCTACTCAAATAACAACTAGAAGATACTGCATTGACAGTATCACATGAGCCCTGTTCCACTGCTATCATTGTAGTAAAAGTAAATGAATGCATGTCAGTGTAGTCCTCAGTATTTCACGTTCCTTCAATGGCACTAATGGGGCTGTTTCAATTATCAACGGTCCCTCAGCTCTCTTCTGGACTCCACCTTGACCCCTATCTCCCTGCCTTATTGCCATACCCAACATGCCTTTTGTGTTTTTTAATTTTTATTTTTACAATCATCCCTCTATAGCAATGGATTTTTTTATCCACTGATTCAAGCATCCACAGCTTGAAAATATATTTAAAATATATAAATTCCAAAAAGCAAACCTTGATTTTGCCATTTTATATAAAGGACACAATTTTACTACACCACTGTATATAATGGGACTTAAGCATCACAGATTTTGGTATCCACAGGAGTCCTGGAACCGAACCCCAGTGGATATCAA